TGTTTCACCTAGAGGACATAGTGGAGCAGACAGGCTACGTCCTGGAGAAGGACTCAGAGTATAGCCAGAAGATTTTAGAAGAAGAGGAAGAAGTCAGCGTCTCCATCACACAAAAGGGTGGCAAAACATTACAACACCAGGTACAGTAGCCACGATTTTTATTCTTTCAGGAACAATTTTTCTATTATTATTTTACTGTTATAAATGTGTGTGTGTGGGTGTGTGTGTGTGTGTGTGTCAACCTGTGTGCTGTTGCGTTTTAAGGAGGTGATAGTGAGAGACCCCTCCTCCGGCTGGGACCTGGGTCCTGACCTCGACCACTTCAGTAGCAGAACCAGACAGGTGCTACAGTACATGAACCCCAATAAGATCAACATGGACTTGTTGGTTGATCTCTTGGACTACCTCGGTAACCACATCATCACAGTATATAAATATGTTGTTGTGGGTTTTTTTTCCTCTAACTACTGTCTGCTGTTGTGTCTCTGTAGACAAGTCGCCACAGTTTGCAGCTTTGGATGGAGCTGTCCTGGTGTTCCTTCCAGGTCTGGCTCATATCCAGCAGCTGCATGACCTGCTGGTGTCAGACAAGAGGTTCAGGGACAAAAACAGGTGTGGACACAAACACATACGGTCAACCCTGTCTACAACCCTGTTTTGAATTGTATTTTAGAGTTTACATCTTACTGTGAGGGGGTTTGACCTTTTCTCTCTTTCTCTCAAAGGTACAAGATTGTAGCGCTCCACTCAACACTTTCATCCAAGGATCAGGCAGCTGCCTTTACAGTGCCTCCTCCTGGCGTAAGAAAGGTATGACAATTAATACATTGTTAGTGATTTAAAATTAGCAAATAGCAGTGTTTGATAGTGTTTGATACTGGCACATATCTATCATCTCCGCTTTCTCGAGTCATCATCCTAATTTAAATATTGTTCATTTTTATGTTTGAATTTCCAACGTATGAACGACTGTGACGTCACTGTCTGTGACTCTGTGACTGTACAGTGTTTGATACTGGCACATATCTATCACAACCCCGTACCATCACGGAGAAAGAACACGATAGAAGCGAGCAAAATAAACAAATGTATTCATTCATTTTCGTCTTTTTTTTTTTTAAGATCGTGCTGTCAACTAATATCGCTGAGACCGGTGTGACTATTCCTGATGTTGTGTTTGTCATCGACACTGGAAAGACCAAAGAAAACAAGTAAGAGCTCATTAACAAGATGAGGAGATATCCTAGCATAACTCACATTTAACCTCCATCAGTGTTTCATGAAATTTTGTTCTATTGGGAACAGAAGCCTTGACTTGGTTAAATTTTTTTGTTCAGGTACCATGAGAGCAGCCAAATGAGTTCCCTGGTGGAAACTTTTGTATCAAAGGCCAGCGCCCTCCAGAGGCAAGGCAGAGCAGGGCGCGTCCGCAACGGCTTCTGCTTCAGACTTTACCCAAAATACAGGTATGGAGTTGACCATCCATTCAAATATAAACAGTTACAGTTTTCTTTCATCTGATGTGATGCTCAACCTGTGGCCCCAGGTTTGCTGCCTTCATGGATTACTCTATACCAGAGATACTACGGGTTCCTCTGGAAGAGCTCTGCCTTCATATTATGGTCTGTAAACAGTACCTAATGATATTCAGATTGTTATAAAAAAAAAACTTCTTCCTCACCAGCCTCCATTTTCTCCCCCCGTGTTAGAAATGTCAGTATGGTTCTCCGGAGGACTTCCTGAGCCGGGCCCTTGATCCTCCTCTGTCTCAGTCGGTCAGTAATGCCGTCAACCTGCTGAGAAAGATCGGTGCCTGTGAACTGTCCAGTCATCTCCTCACCCCTCTGGGTCACCACCTGGCCAGTCTCCCTGTCAACGTGAAGATCGGCAAAATGCTGATTTATGGAGCCATCCTCGGCTGCCTGGAGCCTATCGTAATATCTCACTACCTCATTTTTTAAAAGTTTTTGTCTTTACTATAATATTAGGTGGAGATGAATAAAAATCAGTGTTTACTCACAGGCCACGATTGCAGCAGCCATCACTGAGAAGTCTCCCTTCTACACACCGATGAATCGGAAAGATGAAGCCAACCTGGCCAAATCTGGACTGGCATTGGCCAACTCTGACCACCTGACCATTTATAATGCCTATTTGGGGTAAGGCTGAAGTAGAAGAACTTTAAAGGATGATTTCATGTTTAAATGAAACGGTAAAGTAATGACAAGGTCTCAGTGACTCAGTGAGAAATGAATCAAACAAAACTTCAATTCAGGAAAATTCCAGTTTAACAGTTGTTTCAATTTATAAAAGTAGATTTTTTTTTTCCAGTTCTTCTTGTCGTTCTCTCGCTATAGGTGGAAGAACTCACGGACCTGGACTTATCTTACCACTGATACTTGGCCTTTACTCCTGATCTCAATGCCTTGCATTCGTCTCATCCAGGATGTGAAGCATGAGCTGATGAAGATGATGGAGCAGACAGGTTTCTGTTCGTCTCGCTCCTCCTTTCGCTCCAAGCTGCAGACCACGGCATTGTCCAAGCAGCAGATCAGCGTCCTGAACGCAGCACTGACAGCTGGACTCTACGACAGCGTGGCTCGGGTCTTGTACACGCCGTCGGTGGACGTGCTGGAGCGTCTTGTCTGCACCGTGGAGACGCCACAAGGCAAAGCTCAGGTCCATCCTTCGTCTGTGAACCGTAACCTGCAGACCCACGGCTGGCTGCTCTACCAGGAGAAGGTACTTATCAAGAGTATGTCTCTGATTGGTGTTTGTCGTTAAGGTCAGATTATTCTTAATTCCTGCTTCTCCTCAGGTCAAATATACAAAGATCTACCTGCGAGACACCACCCTCATATCTCCTTTTCCTATGCTGCTGTTCGGAGGTGACATCGATATTCAGCACAGAGAGAGGCTCATCACTCTGGATGGATGGATGCACTTTCAGGTCAGATGTCAACCCGACATTTCAAACAGAATCTCAGTCTGTCGAGTTCAGAAACACAGCTCACGTCGTTATTCGACAGAAAAGTTATATTTTTGACTTTTCCAGGCTGAGCTCGGGGACTAGATATGAGATGAAAACTTATTATATTTGTTGTATTTTTGATGTTTATTTCCACATAAAGGCTCCTGTGAGGATTGGTGTCATCTTCAAACATCTGAGGAAGCTGATGGACACTCTGCTTCAGAAGAAGCTGGAGAATCCAAGGATGGATCTGGAAGGTAAATCCAACATTAAAGATGTTTTCTGTTGCTTTAGGTCTAGATAAACACCACCATTAATATTTACATACAAACACAAACATCAATGTAAAAAGACCATACATGCATATTGCATTTTGCTTCTGAGAAATTAAATTTTTTTTTGTGAAATATTCTAATCCAGTGTCTTTTGACTCAGGTGAAAGTACCATCCAGCTGATCCTGGATCTGATTAGATCAGAGTACGCAATGTGATATAGTGGACCAACAGAAGGAACATTTGCCATTGAAAGAACCTGCAAAGAAAATCAGGACTTTGTTATACAACATCAAAAGACAATGTTCAGACTGTTCAGATGTTTCTGGAAACTATGGACTATTAAGTGTATTAAATACATTTAAAAAACCCGTCAAATGTCCTAAAGTATGGGCACTAGGCTGCAGCCCACACTGACGCTGTACATCACAACAGTTGGAGAGAGACGTTGTGGGTTTGATTGTTCATGTGTCTCCAGCGACCTCTTGTGGTCACATCTCTCTTTCATACTGTACAGGAGAAATATACTGTTTTTAACAAGTCTGACGTTGCTGATGTGCCTGCTATCTACCCAAGTGTATTGTCACGAGTGACCGGAAGAGCCACGTGATCAGGATGTATCTAACACTAGTCAGATTGTGTACCACATTAAAAAACATTTTAAAAGTAAAACATTTTTAGCGTTTGTTTTTTTTTTATCTGAAATGGAAAAGAAAAAAACTTCACTCTGAAACACGGTCAGCTGCCTTAGACACTGTTCATACTGAAACACTAGGTTAGTCTTGTGAGATGTCATTTTGCTTGTTTATTTCATCTATTTTTCTTTTTTTTTTAAAGATCTTTTACAAACATGAACTACCAAATCAGACCACTGCAAAAGTGTGACAGTCGTCCCCCAAAAAACATTTCTTCTGTGAAAAGGTGTAAAGTCAGAGAGGAGCTGACAATGAAAAGACTCCAGAACAAAATGCCTCTGTTTTTATCCCCAACCATTAAATTAAGAGGTAAGAAAGTCAATTTAATCAAAGTTGTTTAAAAACCAAATTGAAAAAATGAAATCATAAAATACATACATGTCAAAAGTACTGCAATGTTACAGTGAAACTTTCAGAATGGAATGAACTTTTTTTTTCAAAATTATGTACACAGCATATGTATAGATGTAGTAATGACACTCATTTCACCCTGTTATTACACAGGAAACAAAGGAGAGACTGATTGAGTTGCACGTGACCTCCAGGTACAGCGTCAATCATTGTGTGTGTGTTAGTAATGAATAACACTGTAGCAGTCATCCTTCACCACAGAGTATATTGTATCATCTGTGAACCAAAGCAGAGATTGGACACATGAAGGGTTAACAGGCCGAGCACATATAGAGTATGTAGGAACTTAGATGGTGCTAATGGAACCAGCCTTCGAACCAAACATGAAATAACAATTCCATAATTTTCACTAATGTGACAAAGACAAGTGGAAGGAGTTCTACAACAAAATGAAGAAATATGTATATATGTGAACAAAACAGAGGTATTTCTCTACACTTTCTCCATTAAAGTCTTCTACAGATGGTGTTTCCATCAGAAAATGTCTTCTGTTGGTCACACCACCCTGTCTGAAGACTGAAATAATGTCCTATTTAAATGTACTTTCATTCTTTGGAAAATAAGAACAATTAATTAAAACGAAAAACTAATGAAAATCTGGCACAATGCTGTCACCAGGTTTCTAAATTTGTCTAGAAAAATGGTTGAAAAAACCTGATGAAGATAAACACAACTCAACACTTGAGAAACGTAATATTAACACTTCTCCTGAGGGACGTGTCGCAACATGTTTTAGTTCAGTAAACCAGACAACATCAGATATTATAACACCAGTCTTCGAACTTTTCGACTCATGAGTACAGTTTGTAAACAAATGAAAGAACATACCCTCTGTGTTCTGTAATGGATCAGGTAACTGGCCCCTTCTACAAAGTCAAACACAGACTCAGTGAGGACGGTGAATGGACGTAATGACAATCAGACGAGTGGACAGTTTCTCTGGGTTTACCTGCTTGGTAGAGGCACTGGATAATGTGATGGTCCAGCTGAAGAAGACTGACCGCTGTAGAAGTTCTCATACAAGACTGGAGCTGTCAGGAAACAGTACATGTAATTCACTTCCTGTACTGGATTTACCACAGAGCATGGACTGTCAGGGAATTCTACCCTGTCTTCACCAGGCTCACATGACAATACTTAACAGGAAGGAGCCATGTGGTTTGACTGGGACAACAGTACAACAGTAAACAACCTTTCCAACAGCACCCCCTTTGGTCACTTCAAAACTGAACACATTCATTTCTGTGTTCCCACAGGGAACAATGAAATACAATTACAAATCAGTGGTTTTTCCCCCACTGTGGCACAGTCAAATGGAACTGGAAAAAAACAGTAAACAAAATAATATTCTAAAGCAAGGACCTAAAGTTAATAGCTAAACTTAGCAGCACCCAGATAGATAGCAGTGGACTTGGATGCAACACAAAGAACACCACAGAAAAACACACAGACATATGTACAATGGCAACAGATTATGAACAATATGAGAACAATACAAGAAATTCTGCACAAAACAAAACTCAGTCAACAACAAAACTGAGTCCTGGTTCATCTGTCAACAACAAAAACAAAAAAACAACCAATGCCTCCACTGTGGTTCCAAAAATACTCCAAACAACTGGAAACTAGACTAAATAACTTTTAAATTTTAAGTCATATTTTTTCCAAGCAGACTGAAACAGACACACACATACATGCAGGAGAGGAGCTGAAGTTGCCGCAGTCGTACCTGGTGGTTTCTCTGCAGTCCACCTCAGGTTTATAAAGTGTACAATGTCTTGCTGGACGTCACACTGTTCCAGAGACTTTCTCACTTCCTCATACAGCTACAGTGTCCACATGCATGGCCAGAGACACAGAGGAAACAAAAGCCAAATAATGACCTGAAAGATGCTGCACAGTTGCTTTGACACAGTTTCATGACATTTCATCATGAACAATTAAAAAAAAAAAAAACAACTTCTGCTTCCGACATTGATTTGAGCATGAACGTTACCTCGTCGCTGGTCACACACTGCTGGGAGAGTTGGTTCAAGTGAGTCCATATGGAGTTTCTCAGGAAGTTGATGCGTTCAATTGATTGACTTTCAAAAGCCTGTGTTGGAAAACATGCTGATCACATGACAAGAACTGAGGTCAGTTTATGTTAAAGTTGAAGTCTTACCTCACAGGCCTTGATGTGTTCCTTCAGCCAATCATCTCTAACCCTGCCAAGTGTGGTCACAGTATGCTGGTATAATCTGTCTGTCAATGAGACAGACGTTGTCATGGCAACGACAACAAGGACGACAAGTTATAATGATAATATAATTATAATGATAATAATGGTTGTTGTTTTTGATCCCATGCATGTTCAGTCCATGGTGTCTGACTCACCTGCTTCGTCTGCGTGCAGTTTCGCTTGCTGTGCTTTAGCGTTGAGCTGTGGGCGATTAGAAAGAAAAAGCAAATGTTGGTTCTTTACAAACACAACTCATCCTGTGGATTTTTAAATACTTATGCTCATAAACAGAGGCGGAGAGGAAGTTTAACACACTTCCTTTTTAAAGGACGCCTACAAAATAAAAGTAGAGGACAAAAGTTTGTCAAAAAATTTTTTTTTTTTTAAATTACAAATTCAAAATAAAAGTAGAGGACAACTTTGTCAAAAAATTATTTTAAATTACAAATTTATATTTTTTTGATAAAATAAAGGATTTTTAATTAAGTTCTCCTTAAGTCTTACAGCCATCTTTAATTTTTTTTTTTTTTTTATCTTTGAGTATGCAGCAATTTTCCAAAACCATATACACTAACTAGGTCACAACTGGTATTGACTGAGACACCAGAACCTTGTCCGTATGCCTGGTGTTGTTTGTGTTGGTGTTTCTGTTCACGTTCTGATCCGCTTCTTCTTTATCTCTGCACCTCTGCTCATACGTCTTCTTTGACTGTGGACAATGGCAGAGTAGTCAGTGTCAGTGTTAGAGTCATTGTTACCGGGCAGATTCTACAGTAGTGGCACACTTCTTCATTGGTACCACTTGTTGACACAGTCTAATCTGGTCTTCATTTGAATAAAAGCTGCACATGAACTTCTCCTTTCTGTCTGTGATTTCCATAGCGTTCAAAGGTAGCATGCTAGCGTGCTTCACTTCCCTGGCTGGTCAGCACAACTTCCCCCATCGAAGAGGAAGATTTTCACAACTGAAACTTTACTGACTCAGATTGAAAAACTGCCATTCTGCACAACATCAAGTCTGATTGAATGGCTACTTCTATGATATTTTTGAGTGCATTTCTTTGACAGAAAGTATTCTTTACATCCATTGTCTTTTTGAACTGTGAGGCCTTCTGTTTGTGCAGCGCGTCCATTTGTTGTTCAATCTGAAACGACACGTTCAGGCCAGGTTATTTATATTTAACATGTCTCGTCTGTGCATCGATGTGCCGGCTGGTCGCTCACCCTTTTTCTGACTTCTCTCTGCTTTTCTCTGAATTCTTCAAGTTTCTTTGCTTCCTCTCTCATGCTCTGTGCCAGCTGTAGGTGTGACAAACCCACACGTTCAGTGTCTGCACAAGAAGAAATGTGGTTAACAATCAGTTTCACATTACCGATGGAAACCACTAAATAAATACATAAACAAGTAGATCATCTCTGTTGAAAGCTCTGTTGTAATTTAGTGTTAGGCAACTCACGCAGTTTGAAGACATCCAGGGATCTTTTCAGTGTGCTGTAAGAACAGAAGAATTAGTTGTGAAAACATTTCTGCACCATTTGGATCTTTTTTGGACACTGTCCAAAAAAGATAAATAAAAATAAAAATGAACATCTTATTATAATGGCAACTAACTAAGTAATAACAATAAGACCTACAAATGGCCACTTCTATCAACTCATTATTTCAATAATAAAAATATGTTTAAAATATTTAAATAAACATAACTCTGAAAATGTGAAAATGTAAAGGAGTTTACAACCAGTGAAATGACTTTTCACATCCATTCAGGACAGTAAAGACTGCAGATTAATTATGTCGTTGTGAAGAAGAAGAATAAACCGTGAATCGACTGCCAGCTAGTTGCAAGTTGATATTATTACCATTTCCTGTTTGGTCACCACTCGTCTTCACACCAACAGTTTTATAACCTTTAATGGTCTGAACCAACGTAGCGACTGCTTACTTCATTTCATTGTGTCCACACACTTTTTTGGACAAACCCAGGAGATCTTTTGCGTACTTCTCTTCAATCGATGCCCTGAAATGGACAACAAGAAGAACAGTGGGTCCAGTGCAGGGGTCACCAACGTGGTACAATGACCATGGTTAGAAGAGTGTCTACAATTGTATGTCTTAGATACTATTGTTATAACATTGTTCAGGAAGTCTGTATCAAACAAATAGCTCTTCGTGTTCATCAAGTGACCATGAAGAAGCTCTCGGTTTCAAAAAGGTTTGGGGACCTCTGGTCTAGTGTATATTTGTACAGTATGTGGCTGATGGTGAATAATCTGAACGTTAATGGTGCATGCTCGAGTGCGGATGCACACGTTTTGCCTAACTGTTCTCCACCCTGCATTGTTATGATGAAAACTCCTGATACTGAGCTGTCGACACAGTTTGTCTGAAACCTGCCATCAACATGACAATCCATTAAAAAAAAGGTACATAATCACCAGGGGGGTTATGAAAAAAAAAAAAGAAATTAAAAAAATACGAGTACAAAATAATTTGACATGTATTCAGTACTTTTAGAAGGGATGACTTTAACCAACCTATCAAGACGACATTCACAACAACGCTTTCTTTTTCTGTTTTTCTAACCGCCACGGTACCCAATACCCTACGTCTTTATGTGAGACAATATGTAAATTCTTCATATCCAAATATTTTACACACACCACATTTAAATATATCTCGCAATAACCTGGCTTTAATGAAATCCTCCACCTCTTTGCACGTCCTCTTGCCGTCGTTAAGATACAGAATAATGACATCGTAGCCACCGGTGCTGGTCAGGTCCGGATTCTGTCAATGACATGGAAACATAGACAACTGTAAAACATCAAACTACACCCAGTTACTGAAATAGATACTACTAAACTAACATTTTTTGTCAAGGTGACAAAATCTTTTAGTAAAATCAGATTTTTTTTTCCAATTACCTCCAAATAAACAGACATGAATTTAGATACAAAACCTTTAAATGTATGAAAAAATAAAAATAAATAAATAAAATATGTGGTTTGGTAATTCAGACACTGATATTCACCGATTAAATCTAAAACACTAAGTGTCTAGTGTTTTGTAACTGAAATAAGAGGATTTCAGGGGGAGTTTAAATTGATGTTTTCACCTGCACATCTCCATAATTAAGAGACGTTTCAGAGGCCGACAACCTGTAATCAATTTAACCATGTGACTATTAAAACTTTCTCCTTCTTCTTCTTTCCAACTTACACAAACTCTAGGCTGTTACGCCGTGTTTTATGGAGCATGTTAGTCAAATTATTCAAACTTATTTTATATTATGTTTTCATTGGATATACTTAAACAATGAGGTGGTACATTGGCTCCATTTTACGATACAGAGCTAACAGAATAATAACGTAACACAAATGTTACGTCTGAATTTGAAAACAAACATTCCTGTGTAAAATGATTTCGTGGTAACTATAAAAAAATAATTAAAACATTCGATAATTAATTCAAACCATACTGGTGTAACCGTGTGAATTTTCCTTTTTAAAAAAAGTTAAAAACTTTTAAACGTACCTTGTGTGAAGCTTAATAAAGCAGCGCCTCTACGGTTTCCAAAACTATTTAAATACAATACGAAGTGGTTGGGGGGAATATGTACCTTTTTTAACTTTAAACACGAACGAATGAACAAAAATAAAAAATAAAGACTCACCCAGAAAAAATCCCTAAAATGTTGACTTTTCATGACAGCGCTGGGAGCGTCCTCAGCTCTGACTCACGCTGCGCGGCAGTTCGTCTCTTTAAATGAGGACTTATAAGCAGTAGGTGCAGAAGAATTGTGGGTAATGTAGTTTAGATCGTCCGCGGGCATGGCATACTCCCAGCTAGTTGTGTTAGCACGTTTCTTTCGTTTTGGGTAACATTTAGCTATTTCCGGACTACGGCCAAAAGCTAAAAGTTTGATTTTGGTTTATGCTAAGTTGTTTTAGCAACCGTTAGCTGTTAAACCCCTACTTTTGGACAAACAGTTCACAATTTCACGTGTTGGTTATATCCTGCAACCAGCCACTATCAATATTATTGTTTTTCTTTTTTTTTAAACTAGACTTAATCCTGTGTACAAAAGCTTATCTGGGTCTTTTTTAAAATTAAAAACCTCTCCACAAAATTAGTACTAGTTCTACTGTGCTTTCTCTACTGCATTCAATCTCATTTATAAACAAATATAAACACTTCCTGGTTTGAGCAACTGTCATTTTCTGCTACTGTAGTCACAGCAATAACTTTTTAAATTTTGACATTTAATTTCCAGTCCCTCTTCTGCTTCTCCTGGAAATGTACAGTATTTTTTTCTATAAACACTACGGCTGGTTCTGCATTACACCCTGGGACATATTTGAATCAGCTTCTCTTATTTTATTTTTTTTTTGCCATTTCTTTGAAGTAGTCAAAATCATTTTTTATGTCACCACATGTAATAAGTTAATGCCGTGTGACTTGCAAATATTTTACATTTTGAACAAGAATATGAAAATATCAAGAACAATGTGACCAATGGCAAATATTTATACAGAATATTTTTACATATGGAAAACAGGGAGGTGAGAGGAGCTGGTGGAGAAGGAGGAGGAGGAGCACTGGTCGATACATGGCAACAGAAATACATACATGTAGTTTTGAGTGATTTCAAAACATACCCTTTTTCCATGAGGATTTATTTTAAAACATTGTAAATCATCCACTGAAAATAATACAATATTTGCTCACAATGTTGATAGACCATAACAGTAAATAGTTGACATGGTCAAAGGTCAGATTCAAAGGCCATGTGATGGCCGGCTTCATCTCCACGTCCCCTACTTGTAATGCTTCTTCTTTTTTAGAAGCGCATCTCGTAGAGCAAGCTGAAAAACAAAGGAAGCATGACTGATTTGACATAAAAAAAACAAAGCATTCTTCCTCATACTTCATGCAGATCGAGTTGAGTCGAATCTAGTAGTTCATTGTTTTGTTTTTTTTAAATAAGCCAGTTACCTGTTTCTCTCTGAAGGAGCGTTTTCCTTTGGTCCTCACGTTCTGACTGTGTCTCATCATCATGAAGTTCTTTGTCCTCCTTTTCTCCTTGTTACTGGTGCTGGCGTGTGGGTTCATCTTTAACCGCTTCCTCACAAACTCTTTTCGGTCGGTCCTTCCGGCCTAGAACATTAAAGAGAGAGATCCACGGTCTGTTTAATGTCTTCTTTCTACATTTTCAGTCTTTAGTCAACACCTAAAGAGTAAATATCTTATTTGTATCTTTACTTTAATAAACAAGAATCCCATAAATGTAGTTCCACTGACACTGGTCCTAGAAATGCCTGAAAATGATTGTTGGTAAATAATGAGTAAAAATGTCTTTAAAGAGTTTTTACCATAGCTGTTGCCAGACGGGTTTCTTTATCCGACTTTGGTTTTTTATGCAGTTTCTCAATATTTCTCAAGCTCAGCAGCTCTCCTCTGCAAGAGAAATGGAAGAAAACATGTTTTTTTGTAATTACATCATTATTTCATATGATTTGTGAACACAAAAAAAATTTCTTCTGACCTGCTCTCCTGCTCATCATCACTGTCGACCATTGGCCTCTTCTGGCCTTTCCCTGGCGCGGCGTGGACCTCTTTCGCCATCTGAGCCAGACGGATTTTCTTAAATTCATCCTGTGTCAGGAATCTGCTGCCGCTGACGGCCGCTGCCTTGGCTTTCCTCTCATCCTCAGGTATGCTCTGAAGCTTCTCCGCCTGAAGCACCACAGAAAATATTTTAAATGTCCAAACGTCACACATATAAAATGCTGCAATTTATATGCAACTTCTCTCTAACCACTTCTCCTGTGTCTTCATCAGATGAATGGTGAACATCCACCCAGTCTCCGTCCTCGTCATCGTCACTCATACTCGCACTCTCCCAGCCATCTGTTGTACAGATAAAAATAAATATTCAGTAGCTAAAATTTTCATATTAACCCAGCAGATACAAGTAGAAACAAGTTAAATTAAAAGGAGGGACTGACCATCATCTTCTTCTCCTTCTTTTTTCTCCTCCTCCACCTCCAGCACTTCAGCTCCAGGGATGTAGTCTTTAGCTTCAAGTTCTCCATAATCTTTGATTTTAGCTTCGGTCGATGCTTCTGTTGGTCTCCCCTGGACACCGTCAAACACAGGGGTCAAAGGTTACGACTAAGTCTTAGCATCTGAAACCTGCATAAAAAACACTTTTTCATATCAGACTAGAATATTTGGCGAGCTCACCCTGTCCTTCTTGATCAGCATCTTTGGATTTAGGTTCCTGAACAGCTGGATCAGCCCCCGCGCAGACATCATCACATCTGAGACGGAGACCACACGTCAAATAACAAACGTCTCGTCTTAAGTCTTAGAGCAAAGTCACCTGTGACTCGATGCATTCTGAAAGTGGAACTCAGAACTCACTCTTGTCCTTGTGGGTCTTGTACTGAGCCAGGTCCTGCAGCAGGTCTTCATTGATGGCGAGAGGACAACGAGCTGCCACCTCTTTAATGGCATTGATGCTGAAGAACAGAGAGAACAACAACAACAACAACAAAGGAGATTATTTGTTACTTTTTCTTTATTTTATTTTTCACACTGTCCATAAAAATGTTTCATCTAAGAGGTTTGCTCTAAGGTTTGCTCTAAGGTCTCTTCAGATCATATGAAGGAACTTATAACTGTTACTGACATTGAACATCAGTGCATCTTCAACTGTAAACACAAATGTACTCACCCTACTGTCATGACCTCCCCAGAGTTTCTGTCCGTCACAAAGTTATTCGCAATGGTCATGATGACGGGTTCAATGACCTGTAAAAGACGGACGTAGCAGGAGTTTAGATGTGTTCAGGTGAAACTTGTTGTGAGTAAACAACAATGTGAATATTTGTGATTTTTCTACCTCAGGTGGGACGAGCTGATGTGAGCTCTGAGCAGCACACAGGAGAATCTTTGTCACCTCTGTGAAAGACAACAAATGGTTTATGGACAAGTCACCAGCACCGGTCAAAGCTCAGTGTATTTTCTCTCTACATTTTATTAAGTAACTACTTATTTAATTCACCTCTCTGGTGGGGCTGTAGAAACCTCTGGATGAAGGGGTAAAAATTGAACAGGAAAAGCTGTGGAAAGGCAGAAGACATGGTGTTTGAACAACATATGTACATATAACTTCAGGAATTATTATAGTAATTTGTATTGAAATATATATATATATAATATATAATACTTGAACGTGTTGTATTATGTAGACTACTGACCTCATGGATTCCAACGAGTCGAGAAATGAGCTCCATCATCATGATCTTCACCTCGAAGCGCTCTTTAGAGTCTTCCAACTGTTTTAAAAGTTTCTCTGAAAATTCTGTCAAAGAAAACAACACCGGGTCATGATGGAGGTGGGGAAAAGATGTTGGTTAAATTCTCTGGACAGACGAGTCAAACCTTGTGGATCATGAATTAGATGGATGGCTGAAAAGTTGAACACCTCTACCTTCTTCTTTTTCTTGTGTTTCTGCCATGACAGAACATTGGTGTTAAAACAAATGAATAATTATCAGATAAGAAATTATTAAATTTGACAAAAAAACTGCCTGTGCAGGCTGTTCTACCGTGAGAACTTTCATTGCTTTTTCCAACTTCTTCTTATTTTTTGAGGTTTTTTTGCCTGTGGAGTATTTCAGCATCAGGTCTCTGGCTGACGTTCCCTCTGTCTGGGCAAAACAAAACACAAGATCTCAGAAAACCAAGATGGCGGAATGTGTACCTTTATGCAGCAGCTCAACCCTCAGGTAGAAATAGAACAAAATGCTAATGTGTCAGTAAATTAGCCCATCGTCAGTTAGAAAACATATAATGTCATAGTTTTGTGTCGTCTTAGAAAGTAACGTTGTTGACTTTAACGAAAAATACAAGTCGACGGAATTAACAATGCTTTTAACACTAGGCTCTTTGTAATAATAAAAAAGTAGTTTCCCATCAGATACAGGTAGAGAACATGGGTGCCCTCTAGTGGTAAATAGAATTATTTAAATTTAAACACTTTTTTCACAATACCTTTTACATTTATATCAGAATTTTGTAATCATGCAGTATTCATCTCTGAAAAATACAACTGCTGTTTTTCAGCCCGTAGTTAAATCATAACCGTTTGTCCCAACTGTGGTGAAACAACTGTATCTGTGTTTCTTACTTCTGATTCTGAATCACTGTCTTTCTTTTCATCATCGTCTTTGCCAAGGAAGAATTGAAGTCCTGCAACAAGGATCTAAAGAAAAACACAATAAACAAGGTGTCAATGCAGTGGTAAGTATAGTTTGCACTTGGATAATATGGAAATGATAAAAAATAATACCTTTGTCACTTTGGAGAAGCAGGCTGTTGTGATGACATTAACAGTTTTTGCATCATTCCTGGGATATGAAAACAAACAAGACATCAGATTAAACATAAAAAAATAAAAGGCTTGATCACTCTGACTCTGGTGAGTGTGAACCCTGATGCTCACCATATGTTTCTTTTGTATAGTTCCACCATCACGTCTAAGGAGATCTTTGCAGCAGTAGGATTACTGTCTCTCAGCATGGTGTACATGAAGTTTTGTAAAGTCTAAAACAAGGAAAATATCACAGTCAGTGAGAAGGTGCTGACAGTTTGAGCTACTACATAGACCAAACATTGCAAAATGTAAGCAAGTGGATACTTACTGTGTTCACTTTGTTGTTTTTGTGCTTGGCATTTATGTTCTTGATATCAGCAACGATATGTGTGAACAATGTCTGTAGACAGCAACAGGACAAGATGGGAACATTAAGCATGAACCAATATAATAAATATATACTAGTAATCACTAATGGTATATATTAAAAAAATTAACTAAGTATGGATCAAAGTAATTGAGCCAGTGAAGGACGACAACAATAAACTATTGGTTCACATCTCAAAAACAAGACAAATAGTCTTACAGAATTACCACTAATAATTAAACAAGTTGCTGTTATTTTGAACAGCAGAGAGAACGAGTTGCTGTTATTTTGAACAGCAGAGAGAAAACTAATTCTACTGATGCTGTGCAAGAACGTAGCCCTCTAACCTTTCTTAGTAGTTTGTCATGACATCGTAGCAGCTCAAAGAACAGCTCCAGGAGACCAGTCGGGGCGATGAGGTCTTTATTCCTCAACAGGATCAGCGCTTTGCAGAAGGTCTGACAAAAGCAGAAAACACAATAACATTTCAGTGCTGTTCTGGCTATTACCATTATTTCCCAGAAAAAAAACGTCCAAAACCATTGAACAACAGGAAGACGTAATGTTACCATTCTTAAGTCTGGCTCAAGAACTGTGTGGTTAGCCATTAGCAACTGGGACAGCTCTTGGGGGAAAGTGGAGAGATGCTGCAGGTAGCAGTGAGAGACCTGAGGGAATATAAAGGTCCATTAGCCTTTACTACACACGTATGTCCGAGTAGTTACATTATGTCACAAAATGACTACATTCTCAATACATCTATGGACAAAAAAATTTATGTGACAAAGACAAAATACATGACAAAACAGACGTTTAGTGAAATATGCACTGATTTGAAGTGAACTGAACTGAAGACGCTATTCAATAATTGTTGTTCAAACTTGACTCATATCGCATCCAAATACACCAAATAAACCAATATAAATTGGAAGCTAACGAAATTGGTTCACTAAAACAGGGTCTGAAGTAACCACCTGAGATACAAACATGACGAGGTCTGCCAGTTCCTTGTTGGGTTTGTTCGGCTGCAGTTTGAAGATGTGAACGTTGGACTGGTAATGTCGGTATTGCTGTAGAAACTGAGACAGACAAAAACAGTCGCGTTTTTCTTGTCATTGCAGCATCATCTGCACATTAACATCTTAGCACTGTTTTAGCTTTACACTCACCTCTTCTACGTACGACTGTGGGTCTCTTTTAATCAGATTCTGCAGCTGCGGCAGGTTGTTCGGCAGCTTGTTGTTTTGACGACCCGACATGATTTTAAATTATAACTTTAAGTTATCTAGTTTATAAAAAAAGAAATAATCGTCGGAATAATGTTTTCAGACAGTAAGCGTGGCAATGGTGTAGGCTGCCATTAGAAAGAACAACAGGAAACACAAAAGAACGTCATTTCCGTTTTAATTAAAGGGGACTTTCTTTACTTGTAGAAATGTTTACATTTTAAATGTCAGGTTAAACATCGTACCATTTGTTATTATTATAATAACTATTTATTGACTGACGAGTATTTTAAAATGTTACTTAAACTTTAATACTCACTGAAAATGCCGTTCTTTTACTAGCAGCGCCCTCAACAGGGGGCGCCATATCGAATGTTTATACACGTTCACATTAAACAAACTGAGGTTTTTGCTTACCTTTAGGTGTTAACGAAGAACCAGTCTTAAACAAATACTTTTTTTATCAATGAAAATGCTTACTATTTACTTATTACGCAATATTTTATTATATTGTGAACAAAGTATTACCACCACCTACCGTTTAAACATGTAAAAGACAAGCTATGTATATTTCCTGCTGCTACCTGAAATTTACAACCATTGTCGTGTTAGTATTTCTTTATTTTTTTTGGTAAATAAATAGGTATAAAGTAGGTGGAAACCAGACACGTCCCTCCTTTTTAATGTTTGTTGAGATTAAATGTCATAACGTGATTTTTTTTATAGCCTTAAAAAAGTCTAGGGTAGTAACAGGTGACATAATGATTTAATTTCTTTAAATAAAACATTCTACTACCAACTGTTTAAAATATATCCAGTTTAATTTTCAAGAGATGAATATGTACACTTTTAATATCATCATTTACCTCAGGCAGTGTGCAATTACTGTATAATAGATTTACAAAGCAAATACTGACATAGTATTCCTGTCGAGGCATGTTCCAGCATCAATATAAGATTTAAAATACACAAGTACAATTTTGTTCCACATAAAACTCAAGAACACCACTGTTATAATTATTTTAGAATGTCCAAGAATCTGGAAAAAAAACAAAAACAAAAAAAAAAGAAAAACATTTGTTCTCTTGTAAGTGATGACAGAAAGTACAATCAGCAGTTCTACTAGATGCACTGGAAGGGAGCAGCAGCCAGGGAAAGAAACGTTTCTAAACATAAAACATAAAAATATAGACTCTTGAAAAGTTTTACTCAGTGGAATGAATATTTAAAGGTATTTAATGTAAAAAAAGTAGTGTAATTTGGCAAGTTCTGCCTGTGTCAACTCTGCATTTGTGATTTGCTGTTGTAACAGTCACCCAGCCTCACAGTGAAGGCACCGATCTACTATCCTGAGATGTTTTCCTCTGCTTGAAGGCATCTGAGGACGTAGAGGATCACTTGATAGCAGAAAATATATTGATCCTGTGAAACAGAGGAATGTTGTTAACAGGGGAGACGGAAGGGAATCAGTGAATACAAATACAGCGAAGTGTTCACTCTTTTAAACTGAATACCATTGAAAGGAAAACAAATTTAACATTTGGTCAGACTTACTTTGAAATATTAAGTTGTCCTGGACATTTACAACATAGCAGAGCTTTTAAAAGATCTGATCTCCTTTAACAATGCTCAACATGTTAATATTATTAAGTGTCAGCACAAAACTGACATTTTTTGCAATACCAAAAACATGGCAAAGGAATAATTGTGATAGGAAACTGGAAATTTGAAAATATGAAATATGAAATATAAAAAGAAATTGAAAAAAAAACATGTAAGATTTAAATATATATGAAAAAAACATGGTGACCTTAAAAATCTGCAAAAAAAAAGAAGTATTTTTTATTTTTGTTGCACAACATTAGTAAATACATTTTTGGGCACTTTTAAAGTCTAAACGCCCTTCAACAGTCAGCCCTCACACAGTAGTCAGTCTGGGAACCTGTTGGACAAATTGGACCAAACCTTCTTGTTTGTTTTTATTGTTATGGAGTAAAAACTTCCTGATTTCTCTTGTAAAATTTAATTAAATACAAAAAAAAATCACCTCTGTCTGGACCATTCCCTGTCTCTGAAGTCTCATGTTCCTCACCACGTCTGAAATATCAAACTATAAGAAAACAAAGATTTTATTGAACAAGATAAATCCCACAGAAGCTTTTCGACCAATAACATTAAAGTGAAAACAGTCAAACTTACATCAGCGTCTTTGCTAATGAGGCCTAGAACTACGTCTATACAGATGAGTGTTCCTGAGCGGCCAATCCCAGCGCTGCAGTGTGTGATGATAGGCCCTGAGCGCTGAACATGTCTCATGTAGGAGATGAACGTGAGCAGCTGCTCAGGTTGTGACGGCGTACCGTGGTCAGGCCATCCTGTGTAGTTCAGATGAGTCACATACTGGACTTCACTGGTCTGAGCAAAAAGAAAAAAGATTGCCAAATTATTTTACACAAGACTGACACAAATGTTAATACACTGAGTACTACAGACACGGGCTTACCAGGACATCTTTGACCTCAATTAGTCTGATCACAAAGTTGTCTAAATATTGGTCCTTGATGAGCATAATCTGTAACCTGTCGTCCACCATCTCTGCCGCATTTGCCGTGTCCGGCCAGTAACGCTGACATTTCACTTTTCCTCCCTCCACCTCCTGTGTCATCATGGCGATTACGTTAGACTTTTGTTCCCAAACCATTTGCCAAAAGTCACCCAGGGTGGTTGGCAACGGTCCCTGACAGGCGATGTACATGAAGTTCTCGTCCTTCACCGGCATGTTGATGAAGTTGGCGTTGATGTAGCCTCCATCTTTGCCGAGCACAACGCGAGTGGTGTCAACTGCAGATACGTTCAATGTAGAGAAATATAATCACATACATACATGTAGGTACATATAAATACACACACAAAGTTAATTATGCATGTGAAAAATTGCCTCAGAGGGCCCCCTACAGAAGACGAATGGCATTACATTCTATTACATTACATTCTTGCATTATGTGACGTTATGTGTGATCTGTCTTACAAGGAACAATATTCTTGTAGCGGTTCTTCTTCTTGTTCTCCTTTGTCTGACCGATCAAACAGTCGTCCAGTGGCTGGAGATTTTGAAGATTCTTTAGAGGGAAAAAAAGATAAACCAATTAAACCTAATCTCCTTTAATTAATGTGAATCTAAAGTAAAGATTCTCACTTCAAACTCCTGCAGGGGTACTTTCTGCTCCAGAAGCCCCCTCATCATGCGGACCACGCTGTTGAGCTTAGTTCCTGTGTACTGGCCGTCAGGGACCACCTTGACAAGGGGCAAAGAGGTCAGTTCATCCTCTGTAATGATTGGCCGATCTAAAGGGACAAAAGTTAAAAGGATTATAAACAGTGGATTTTTACTTTGATTTAAACCAATATTAACTTGAGCTTCAACCAAAACATTTGTAACATTAGGTAAAAATTACTTCAAAACATGCCAAAAACGTATTTTCAGGCACCTCTAAAAAAAGAGGTCATCCACCTTTTATTCACAGTCCAAAGTCTTACCCTCTCTGGACTCTCTGGAGTTCATGTTCTCAATGGGCAGCTCGTCACTTCCCCATGTGATTTCGTCTTCATCTGGTTGTCCAGCACTCATTTGGAGATAACTGGTGATTTATATTGGGAAGCAGAAACATGTGATTCAGGTCAGACGGGGACATTTTCTCTGTGAATGTAACAGATAGATGCAGCACCGACGTACTTTTCATTTCTTTCATCAACACTCTCCTCGGACCATTCCACCTTTCGGGAACTCTGACAAAACAAACAAAAACCCCCAATATTAAACAGGAAAAAATGTATGTGCTAAAATACACAGTATGAGTCTAAAAGTATACCTCAGGAGAATCTTCAGGTAAAGAAGAGTCATCACAGTCGGTGTCCTCAGAGTATTCTGCATCTCTCGGTTTGTCTTCTCTGTGCTCCTGTGGACCATCGTCATAGTCTGGAAGCACAGAAGAGATGGATGAATACACAGCACTCACTGAGGTTCAGTTTTGAACCATGTATGTCTCACCTATTGGAGGTATAACAGGGAAGCCACCAGACTTTGGCTCGTCGTGGGGTTTGGTCTTCACTCCACTGTCCTCACTCAGATCTAACAGTAATAGAAAAGTCTCAAATGAAATCATGATGAGTCAAACATTAAATACATCTCCAACGTTGGCTCCTTTCTCTTACCTGTGCTTTCAATGCTTTTGTCAGAGCTCATGGGTAGATAGGCGAGGTACGTGTTAGGGTTTTGGTCTGGAGGTCTGGACACAATGAGGTGTACCTTGCCTTTAGCTTTACGGATGGTGGTGACAGCTTTGGTGTGGGACACACCTGTCATGAGCTCTTCATTCACCTGAGACAAATGATCAGGAACATCAGGAGAGGTTTTCTTACAGAGACCATAAAAAGACAAGTGTTTTATAAAGGGTTCCTAAGGCTCCCAACACTCACTCTCAGCAGCCGGTCTCCCACTTGCAGCTGACCTGTGGATTCTGCAATTCCTCCTTGTGAGATGGATTTGACAAATATTCCTCTTTCTCCTCCAATCACAGAGAAGCCCAGACCTCCAGATGGAGGTTTCTCCAGATCCAGCCTTATGATTTCCTCCTGTTGATTCCAGAAAATAACACTTGACACAACAACCTCATCCTAATGTCATTAGACGTACATACTATATATATAATATTTATACAGTAGAGCTTCTGAAATAAGACGACTCTGATTTGTCCAACAATCAATGACTAATGAATCGCTTAATAAAGGAAATCAAAAGGAGACATTATGTTGTTAAACAAAACATCTGTGAAAAAATACACACAGAACAAAAGGCAGCAGCAGACTTACATCTATGGGACAAAGTTCTCTGAGATACTCTGTGGAATCTTCTTCTTTAAGAAATCCTGGAAAAAATGTTTATATGAAACTGAATAAACCTACCACAGTCGCAAAACAGAGAAACCGTTTTGTAATTTAAATATTTACCATTTATCCTGGAGGAAAGTTCAGGGCTGATGTTGTTGTTGAGAAAAGAAACACTTTTGTGCCCAGGAAAAACAGGCTTCCCATCCCTTTAAGGAACAAAAAGGAAAAAAAAAAAGAAAGAGGAATGTCAGTCGTGTAATGAAGCCAAACGAACACTAGTCTCTTCAGTGCAGGTTACCTCGTGGCTTTGAGTGTGAGGTTGTCCAGCGAGAGCTCCAACAGTCTTGTGTTCTCGCTCAGCGTCAGCTCCTGCGTCGGAGCTCCATTGATGTAGTGGATGAGGTCCAGTGGTTTCAGGCTCCCTTCTCTAAAGGCCACAGACCCCGGCAGAACGTCTCTGATGAACAGGACTCTGTACAAACTGTCACTACCTCCGTCCAGAACCAAACCTGGACAACAACACGAAGGAGTCGTCAGTGACACGTGACCTAGTGCACGCCATCTTTTTCAGTGTGAGTCAACTTCTTTACCCAGTGGTTCTTGGTTGTCCCTGAAACTAATGTCAGGCAGCAAGTGGGCTTCGATGGGCGGTTTTGGAGCTTCGAGGACTCTTCCTACGGTCAGGTCAACTAATCGAGGAGCAGCACGCACCAGATTGACCACCTCAGTGTGACCCATACTGCTCACATCTGTGTTGTTTACCTGGGATAATAAATTAAAAAAAGGAGGTGAACTGTTGATTAAAAACACTAGAAATAATAAATAACCAATAAAAATGTAATTCAATTCCATCTATAAAACCACAGTAGAGTTCATATGTCCTGAGTTATTGTGTTTTCCAGGACAGTTTTTGTTGATTTTGATTGTCACAGCACTGTCCCACCAGCAGATGGCGCACTACTATGTGGGCTACACAGAGAGACAGCTCTGATTTTGTCCACTGACTATTGTAATAAAATAGCCTGGGGTAACAGTAAATTCTCACACACATTTTTAAATATTACCATTGTTATTGTTTAAAAATTAAAATATATTTTTGAGCTCATACCATTATCATTCTGTCCCCTGGCCTGAGACGTCCATCATCTTTGGCTGGGTCCTGGACGATGTCATGGATGTAACACCCTTGATCATTACCTTTGGTGAGGGTGAAGCCTAAGCTGCCTTTGTCTGACTTCATTAAGGAGACATTTAGCTCAACTTCCTAACAACAGAAAGAAAAAGAACATAAAGATTGAAAAGTTATATTTGGGCATCAATCATTTCATGGGTTATTTTATTTTATTTAAAAAAAAACTCAATCAATGAGCTTCATCTTTTGAGTTAGTCTTACAGGTACAAAGTCCTCCGCCTCTTGTCCGCTGCCAGGCATAGTGAGGTTTAAGGGCAATGGCAGTGGAGGAGGTAGTGGGTCTGGGCTTGGGGCAGATGGAGAGGACATCATCGTCAGTGAGGGTGACTCCAGATCAGCTGAGACGGGAGACGAAGGATGCCTGACTTGGAGCTTTGGGGAGTAGAAGGCTGTGTGGTTGGGGTCGTTGAGTTCACCGCTGCTGTCGTACCGTCCCAGCCCCAGGTTGCTGCTGGGAGTGTGGTAGACACTCCGCTCCCAGTTCTGTCTGCTCTGCTCCAGGTTGTTGGGGCTGAAGGCTTCCTCCACCTCCTCATCCCCGTCGGTGCTGTCACTGTAGCTGTTGCGATGACCTGGTGTTTTGTGCAGCAGCCTCTCCAGGGCGTCCTCCACTGGGCCCTGATTCCTCTTCATTAGAGGAGCTGGAGGAGGAGTGGTCCTGCTGAGAACGAGACTGGGTTCCTTTTTAGTCAGGACCTCCTTTCTAGGTGATGACATTGGTGTCTGTATCCAATTAAAAAAAACATATTAACTTAAACTTAGTTACTGTGGATTGAAAGTTTGAAAACTTGGTGTAAAAGTTAAATGACTACAAAGGATGAATTTGTTTTTTTTTTGCTCTCCTTTGATTTCTACTGAAATTTTGAAAAAAAAAAATCTAAAAATTTCCAAAAATTCCATGATGTCCACAGATAAAAAGTCCATAAATAAGTCACAAATAATTTGTTTTTAATTCAGTTGAATTTAAGAATCTAAAATAAATTCTGAAAAAAAAATCAGAAAATATTTTTTATGTAAGAAAAGTCAGAAATCTCAGTTTCAAGATTTTGACATACAATTCTGAGGTTCAAGTCTGTAAATATTTAAAATCAATTTTCCTCAAGAGTCATTTAAGAATCAGCAAAATTCTCTTCGAGCCAAGAGAACTAACAGTGAACATAATCCGACCCCTGGGTCATAAGAGTGGACATCAGTAGAAAAAAAAAGAAAAATCAGCAAAGAACACAGTTTACTACTACTCACTAAGACTGAAGTGTCAATTTCAGGAAGTACACCAGAATCAGGTCGACACAGGCGCAGATTGACCTCCTGACCTGTTCCTCTCAGGGCTGATATCACCTCCTGTAGGAGACACAGTATTAAAAATGACGGTTTTCATCTACGTCTTCGGCACCAGGCTGTGACAGGAGGTCTTTGTCGTACATGTTGTGACAGTCCTCTGAGGTGTGTCTGGTTGACCCGCAGGATGACGTCTCCAACACTGATGCGACCGCTCTCTGCTGCCGGCTGACCGGGAAACAGCTTCTTTACCCTCACCATGCTGGAGCCTGGCGGCTCATCGGGGATGTTCTCCTCCCGACTAAAACTGAAGCCCAGACCTGAGGTGTTCTTCAGGAGACGAACCTCAAACACATTCTCTGTGGAGATAAGAACGTGTAGATTATTAATTTGTTTAGTATCAGAGCTACAGGGAGGTTAGTGAAAGACAGACGCAAACTCCTCCAGGTCAAAACTACAGTCAAGGTCTATGCTGGAGATGCAAGGTATACTGTGGAAAATAACTGGTATGAAAACTTGTATGTATTTACTTCTGGCAATTAAAGACCCTTCAAATAGGGGGCAGCAGATGGCTATAAAAATTAAAGACTCAAAATTAAAGAGTTGTTGACAAAGACCTTCACGTGTCTCTTTCTTCAACTCCTCCGACTATTTCAGTGTTGTGTTCAACTAAACAGACACAGATTTGACAAACAGGTTTCACACAATAATGTGTAAATTGAAACCAAACGATCATTGTTATTGCATTACAGACTGTATACTGTTCGGGACATTTTTGTTTGGTGGTGCACTGTAGGAGCTTCGATGTAAAATATGTGGCATGGCACAAAAAAGGTTCAGAAACACTGGTTGTTACAATATTTCAGATTATCAGACATTTTGGCAACAATTTGTAGTTTTAATTTTAACATTAGTCAGCAAAAAAAACAACAAAACAAACTCACGGCAGCCTGGACTCACCTGGTGTGATGAAGCTGTACTCTGGTTTTTCTTTGACCTCATGGTGCTGCTCCTTGTTCTTGTTAGCTTCTCGTTTGCTGCCAGCGTTTGTTCGTGTGCACTGAGGTGTGACCGGAGCGTGGACTGTGTCTGCAGGTGGCTGACCTTTCTCCAGCATCAAGTGCACGGTCTGAGGGGGGAGAAATGAGTCAGTTGGTCTGACCGTTCAGCTCGGAGCACCTTGACGTGTTTGTCGTGATGAACGCGGTGACCTCACCTGCCCCGTGTCTCTCAGAGCCTCGACTGCCTGTTGATGAGTGGCTCCCTCCAGACTCCTGCCATTCACGACCAACACTCGGTCACCTGGATATAACACACAGATTTGGTATGACCAAAAATGGTGGTAGAAATGATTTATTTAAACCTTGGTTAAAATTGTTGAGGCTGTCAACCTTTCTGTATTCTCCCGTCAAGGTGAGCTGCACCTTTAGGCAAAACTGCTTTAACGTAGATGCCTCCGTGTCGGACCATAGTGTCGATTCCCCCCTAAGAAACAACACACTTCTTAGTCTTGTGTACACGATGAAAAGACAGAATTTATACTGGGAGGGCAATGGGAAGTGTGGAAGGACTCTTTTGTTCATTTACTAAATGAGAAATGCTTTGTGGCAACAGTGCACGCAGGAAAACTATGTTCCTTTAGACATAAACTGAGATGTTTTGCAATGTTTTCTTTTAGATAAATATTTGACAGGTTAAACCAAAAACTCTTTTAGTTGTTTTGTTTTGACAACCAATATTAAATGTTAAGGATGTGACACGGTTGCAGCAGATGAAGCATTTATCATTTAAATGATGATTTGAGGATAAATGAAAAAAAGAATCCTCCACTGTGCTGTGACTGTTGATACTACGTTATTGATGACTGTATTATTGATGAATGGTTACATTTTAATTTACCTCAGATTAGGGCTGGGAGATACAGTATATCAGTGTGTTGCATTATATATTGATTTATTCCTAAATGCGATATAGAATGAGGCAGTACTGTTTGTATTGATTTGTGAATTAAATTATATTAATGAATCTGTCAGTTTGCTCGGCTCTGGTCGTCTCTCTTCGGTCTGTCTTTTTAACTTCACTCTGCTCAGCCTCTCTATTTGCCCTGTTCACACTCCAACCACACGGAGCAACAACACGGTGAACCAGACGTTCACATTTTACACAAGAAGAGGAAACTTAAGTTGTTAAACTGACAAGAGCCACTACAATCCTCGAGGTACACGGAGTGTCTTCGTTTAGAATATCTGCCTAATTAAAACACTTCAAGTTCACTCCCATCGTGGCTCGCCTCAAAGCTTTAGATTGCAATAAAATATGCAATCACATAGTCGTGTAAATTCTTTGAATATTTTGTTTAGCACTTAATACTTCTGAATTAAAATCCCTGTATGTGGCTTTGATATTTTTTACAGTGAATATCACCCAGCCCCACCTCAGATATACTGTGAATATCAACTCGGTGCATGATTTTTAGTTTTACGGGTGGACTCTCTGTCTTTGTATTGCAGCAGCAACACAAGAGTCAGTCATTACTGATGAATTTGACACAAACTCAGAACAACATGTTACTACATCTGGGAAATGAGTCACAACATGCCAATCAATGAGGTGAATGTGTGTGAATCTGTTACAAATAAATGATATTAGAAGTCAATTTCTCAGTTAAAACACATAAACAGTCATATGACACCGGTTAAACACACTGAACGTCTTGAAGGTGATATTTTAAACCCACAATGATTAAAACGAAATGAAGATGTGATGAAGAGTTAGTTCGGAGGGAACCAACGTGACCATAAGAGTGAGGAGACACGATCAGTCAGTGTTAAAAATAATTATTAAAAAAATAAAAATAAAAATAAGCAGCCCAAACCAACACTGAAGCGCAGACACAGACACGTAAGTGAAAAAATGAGGAGGGGAAAAGGGGAAAAACAAAGAGAGCATGAAAACCTTGCCGAACAGTACCGTGACACTTATGCCCAGGCTACTGTCTTTTTTGGACAGCTCAACGTCAAATAGATCTCCTGGACGGAGACTATTGACCCCTGGGGCATTACCATTTACATTTTCCATGACGTTTTCCTGCGAACAGAGAAGAAGGCATCAAGTTGCATTATGGAAAGCGTGCAGGAGGAATAAAAAGGATTTGGTGAAAGTGAAGGATATGAACTCCAAGTAACAGGCGTGTAACAAACTGAGGGACAGGACATGCAGTGCTTAGGTAACAAACTGCCTTGCATTGACCATGTCAATGCAATGATAAGCAACATAGGCGTAGAGTAGGCAGTTAGCTGCACCAAGCATTCTGTTTAATGCTTGTTCACAAAGAACAAATCAAATCACATTCCTTTAAAAAAAAAGTAAAAAATTTTAATTTGCAAAGCATTTATCCCCACGTGAAATTGATCTAAATGAATACATTTATTAAAACAATTTCCACACCTTTTTGACTTTGAGATTTTCCTGACTACTGAAATGAGTTTCCTCTTCTTTGTCAGAGTCTCCTCTGTCAGGACGTTCGGAAATTTTGGGAGCCTCTGTAACTTTTGTTTTTCTAGTTTTGGGCGGCAGCGCTGGTGGCATAGGTTCCATGCTGGCCTTGTTAGGTTCTGGTCCGTGTTGTTGAACACTATATCCAGCTGTCACTCTTTCAAGACACTTCAGAACACCATTGATGGGAGGCTGGCTGACTTTCACGGAGCTGCCTGTCCTGGAGTCTTGAGAACTGCGGCTGCTCTGGAGGTTGACCTTGGACGAGGCAGCCGGGAGTGTGGCTGCACCGTGGCTCGAAGAACTGGGACTTAGAGATACCGGGCGCTCCTCAGACAACTTCTCTTCTTGTTTCTGGTCAGAAGTAAGTGCTTTTAATGTAGTTCTGGGGTAAGAGGAGAAATAGTCTGGAGGAGCTTCTGTGAAGTGGACAACAAGAAGAACAAGTCTAAACATGGAGAACAAATGTCTGGTGTTGTGCCTGATATGTTTCACAAAACATCAACTTTACAATCGAATGGCATCTCTGCCTTTACCTTTGAAGGGCCTGTCTTTAGGTGGCGCCACAACATCTTCGGTAGCACGTTGAAGAACATCAAGTGGTGAGTTTTGAGTGGGTTCTTCTGAATTTGCTTCATTCACAGCAGTCACACGATCATCTAGAACAACATCAAGCCACAAAAAAAAATAAAATAAATAAAGTAACCACAAAATAAAAAACCACAAAATTAAAAAAAAAAAGCAACCTGGTCACCAACCCAGACCACACCCCACATGTTTATTCAGGTTTTTCATTTTTAGACTGAAAATCTTTGCCTTTTGTTACTAGTGATTATAGCCATATAAGAAAAAGAAAATTTCCCATGAATGCATTGCGTCAGCTGGTCATTTTATGGTGAAGAGGTCATAGTCAATTATTACATCATGGATTTGCAGACGGCCACTCTGAGAGCACGTATATATAAACTGTAATTACTGTCCAGGCCAGACAGGCGTACAGTGTGGGTGATGGGCCCCTTTCCTTAGTACTGTGGGCCTGAAAGATGGACTAGAGGGGGATGAAAGGAAGGGTCATCAGATCAGAGCAAAGAATTCAGCTCTTTAATGGTGGGAGCACAGTCACAGTTCAGTTCCACTGGTGGGCAGAACAGAGAGTTCTGGGACTTGACCTCACGTTATATAACCGAGAAGAGATTTTTTTTTCTGGTGCCCTGGTAAAAGCCGGTTAACAGATTGACAGGAAGGATTAAGAATGTGGAGTGATGATGCAGAGTGGTGGAGTATTCCCTGCAGTATGTCACTAAAAATACGAGGAACTCGGAAACTGAAATGCCTACCATCAACAGAGACTGTAGTAGAAGGTGTGGCAGGGGAGCTGTGAGTAATTCCACCTGCAGAGAGAAATCAGAAACGACATTTTATATTCACATTTGTTGGGCAGACTTCAACTGCTCACAGTTCTGTTTCACTAAAGAACCTCAAGTTTAAAATACCATCTGAACACAGTACGCATTTGTGGAGGCTTCAACGTCAGGTCAGACGCCAGATTGGTGTCAGACCAGCTTCACTGAACGCTGGACACCAATAAAGTCTACAGCTGACAGGCTGACTGACAGAACTGTCAAATGGACTGTGAGTTTGAAACCCTCAACATGTTCTACAAGCCGACGTCAAGATGCACAAAAATCTGTCAACTCTTTAAGGGAAAATTTTAAGGGGTACATTTGCATATTTTTATTGACATTGTTTATTATTATTATTAATTCCCTCATCTGAATTTGTCTTCATATTATTAATTCCCTCATCTGAATTTGTCACAAATAATGTTTATTTATCTCGATTAATAGCTAAGCCGTGACTAATTAGACATTTTTTTAATTTAATAACAGCCCTAACTTAAAGAAACAAAATTCACATTTCCTTAAACTCAGGGTTCTTACCAGCTACATATGCTTGACCGGCTTCCTCTATAGAATAGGTGTCTGGTTCTTTTTTGTGCTTGCTGAGGCTCCAGGCCAGGCTACTAAAGGACGTCGTGCTGAACAACCTGTGACAGAGGGAACAGAAGACATGAAGAGGCAACTGTCAACAGTGGATTAGTGGACAGAGGACAAGGAGAATAAAATAAGGTTGAAGTTTTTTTAAATATCTGTAACCTATTGAGCTGACAGTAGGGGGAGCAACTGGTATAGGAAGATATGTTTGCTGCCTATAAAAATAGAAGCACTGACAGGTAAGAACAACAAGACACAGGCACAGAGGGACACTTCCTTGGTTGATTAGGGACAGGATTCTCTGTCTCTCTAGTGTGTTCAGTAACTCCCAATAACAAGTCCTGAATTAGAAAACTCTGCCCTGTGAGCTTTAACAGTGTGGCTTTGATGGGTAGAAAAAAAACAATGACACATCAAAGAAATAACATCTGACTTTAACAAAACAAGTGTCTTATATACACTGTGTGGTTTAACTTGACTCACTTGTCTGGGTGGGTTGTCATGGAGTCCGTCTCTGAGATTCTCCTCTGGTGTTGCTGTAAGTGAGAGGCCATTTGGTTGGGTTGCGGCTGACTCAGTCCGCTGTGTGATTGACCGCGATATGACTCTGCCATGGGCTGCTCCGGAGACTCCGGCCTCTGACCGAGGTTGTGGAGGGAGCGGCTCATCATTTGTGGATTGGAAAGAACCGTGGAGGCCGCTGGATTGTAACCTGGAAAGTGCAGTTCATCTTGGACCAGTATTGAGCCAGAGGGTGCCTTGTTGAGGGCCGCCTCAGAATACGAAGTCCTCTTCAGTTGGTCTGGGATGGAATGGGCTGCTAAACTGCCGGTGCTCACTGTCCTGCCCACCGCGTCTCCACTCCGAGGATCCACAGAATAGTTGAGAAGGTTCAGGGGGCAGTTCTCTGAACGAAGGTGAAGGTATTTGGTTAGTAATGTTACAAACTGATGGAAGTACAATAGTGTGTGTTAATTAAAGGCCTCTTTTGTTTGAAGTAATTACTGTACTGTATATATTACTACGCTCAGAACAGTGACCCAAATACCAACTACCTATTACTATTCGTGGACAGTCTCTGTGGCAGACTTCAACTTCACTTAAAAAATATACAAGGTCCATTTCCATTTCATCTGTCATTTTTAATTCAACATTCAATCATAGAACTGGAAGAAAGAAGTAGAAATTATATTTGAAAGAAAATGCAGCAGATGATCTAGCTTTATATTCCAGACACATAACCATCAACTAGGAAACTGAGCTGAACTCAGGTCAAAGACAGGATACAAACTACTGTGATGTTTTCATGTATTCAGTAAAAACAGCTGCTAACCAAAATAGTACAGACACCATTAACAGGAAAAGAAATCCTAACACGGTGTCACTCTATGACTCTCTGCTGAAATCATCACATTTCAAAAAAACATTTTTGAAAACGGCCTATTTTTCCTACCGAGGTCCTGCAGCTCCTGGTTGTTTTGCCGGGCCTTCATCTGCAGGTAGAACTTATGCTGATCAGAGCAGAGCTGTTGCAGATACTGCGATGTCTTCAAACTGTCTGTCTGAAACACGTGCTTGATCCCGTCCGATGTGTTCTGGAGGCAAATCTTCTTTTTCTTTAACAGGAAGAGGTGAGATAATGATTTCAGTGAAAGCACTTGGAAAAAAAGCTGAGTTTTTATGGTAAATTAGAATAGGGATAAGGTTCTCACAGTAAAGGAAATCTTTTTTGTGTCCCTCCAGGGAAACCTGAGCACAGGAGAACGGTTTCCATTCAGGACCTCGAAGATGATCACTCCTTTGGAATAGACTCCCAACATGATGCCGGTCTGAGATCTTCTCTCTGGAAGTACTCGATGGAAGTGGACTCCGTACTCTGTTAGCTTCTGACAAACCTAGAGGACGAAGTAAAAACAGCACAAAAAATGAGAAAAGATTTCTTTTGATTCTAATGACAAAAATATTTTGCTCAGTTTCTCTTGGAAATCTGTGAGAAGGAGAACTTAAAACATCTTTTATGTTTGTCCCAAAATAAACAGGGAAACACCAGCACATTTTAGAACTTGTTCATTTCATCGGAAACTTTTGATTTCCTGTACTTTCTGCTCCGCTGACCTTCAGGAATTCAAACTCGGCCTCTGCCTCAGACGCTCCATAGTAGTTGCTGTGAAGTTTGGGCAGCTCCTCCCGGACGGTTGCGTGGTCCATCTTTTCCAGGATAGACGCTGGCAGGTAGTGATCCTGTCTGAAGTAGGTCTTCCCATGGAGCTAAGACACAGATGTTTCCTTATTCAGTATGAATGAATTATTATATATATATATATATATATGTCCATAATTTGTGTGAGTCACCGTACCTCAGGCTGGTAGTCACTAAACTCAGCCATCAACGCCAGTGAAGCCAGTATCATGGCACTTTCTGTGTCACAGCACAGCCTCTCCTCCAAGATATCCTTCCTCAGCTGTAGGTAGTACTGATGCTTGGTCAACGTGTGTCTGAGACAAAATATTATACATTTCCCCATCAGTACTTTTCAGATTTTTTTTTTTGTGTGAAGGTAAACTCAAAGTGTCGTTTCAGGCACAGACTCACTGTATAAGGCTGACATCATCGAGGAAGAACTTGATGCGCAAGAAAAGGTTGAAAGACACGTCTGGTTTTCTCTTCTTGTTGTCCTCCTTCCATCCTTCTGGAGCCACTTTGGTAAGTTTGGCATCGGGTTCCACGAAGAAAAACTCATGTTCTGCAGGTGTATTTTTAAGAAGGGAAGAAGTGGAAAGTTAACGTGACAAGTCTGCTGTGAACTGAAAAGCACAGATGGGCTGGAACATTCACACGTTATTTTGGAAAAAAAACAAACAAAATAAAAAAAAACAGCACCATTCAGTCCCCTAATTTTTTCCACACAGGTAACACTGATGTGCACATAACAGCCTATGGGTGGCAGTAATCCCTGTAAATATTTTGGGAATTTGAACTATAAAATATATACAACAGTGAAACCTGGAAACATGCAAGACTGAACAAATACGTAAAAAAACAAACAAACAAAAAAACGAGACCTATACAGCGCAACATCATCCTTTACCTCTGAGGTATGCAAGACCAAAGAGATGGTGCTCCACCAGCCCGACGTGGGCCACCACCATGTCCAGAACGTCTTTACACACGGCCTTGACATCACAGCTCAGCTCCAGCTTCTGGCCGTTCAGCAGCACCACACCCACCTTTCTCTGCACTTCTTCCACTTTTCCACGTTTCTTGATATGATTAAAAAAAAGAGGGAGGAGGAAATAAAGGGTGTGAAGGGAAGGTTCTGTAAAAGTACCTCAAGAGGTTCATGTCCTTACCATAATTGAAGACGGGACAGTTAAGGGAACACTGGGCTCGTTGGCCATTTTAATAAACTCTGGTCCATGGAAGGTCTGCAATTAATACAATGATAGAACATTAAACGTTATATGTCTCTGCTCGTTCTATCTAAGACATTTTGCAGCTCAATGTAAAGGTTCATTTAAGATAAGTGTCGTGATCTTTTCCGGAACTTGCTTTGATCACAGGAAGACTAAATATTCCAGTTTCATTGGCCACTCCTGTCTACGATTTAATGACAACTGGAGCGGCTCATGTGATGCATTTGTTAGTGTAACACACACACACACACACACACACACACACACACACACACTTCCTTGTAGAGTTTCTGTTAAGTTTCAGCAGTAGTGGAAGAACGAGATTCCTGGGCATCCGTGGCTTTATAATCACAACCTTCACATCCACCATGACATCATTCATCATGTGACATTATCATTCTATGGCAGACGTGGCTTAACTCTAACAAGTAAATGTTAAAATATAATGTCTGTAGTCTCCTTTGTTCCTGCCTTCACTTCTGTTACTTGTGAATTTTTAACATTTCTGATAATGGGTGGGACAGACCAGACTGTCATCCAAGTCCCCACAATCCCACAAAATTGTAATTACCATAGAAAGGCTGACATGAAGGACGTCCTCCGTGTCAGCAGTTTACATTTACAGACAAGCCAGGGACGAACAGGCAGCTCACTGACAATGAGCTGACTGGAATTAAAACTGTACACTCACCTCCTGACAGACCAAGAAAAACAGTGTGTGAACAGTCGGACGCAGGGAGTTCCCAGTGAACAGTGACAGTGTGGAAATGAGGCTAGTACTTGTTAAGTGTTGCCTTAACTAAAAAAATATACAATGTGTTTTTTTCTTTAAAAATAACCTTAATTCTGATGACCAAAAAAATCAGGCCTTTGTATAAACTGAGATGACAACATTGTAAATGTATCTCTGAATCTGGTAAATCAAGTAATAGTTTCTAGTTTATGATCATTTTTTAAATGTTTTTAATTTAAAGCACATGTGAAGAGTGTAGACCTGGCATAAATATAAAAGGGCTTTTAAATGATTTTATTAATCTGTCATTAATCACCTCAATTATCCATCTACTTATCATTTCTGTTACACACATGACGTCACTGAAGCACCACCACAGAGTGAGTCTACAGCTGACAAGGAGACTGACAATCAAGTGAGACACAAACATCTTCGTGAGGTTTGTTTTTGTCAGGAATATAAGGAAAAAAGTTTTTTTTTTTTTGTAATTTAAGGATGTTGATTTATTATGATTAATCATGAATTAATAACACCGCCACCCTGTAATTAATCAAATTAATATGAAATAATAATACATAATCTTTAATAATTTGACAGCCCTTTATAATGTTTGTGAATTTTTCAAACTCACAAAACAACTGTTTCTGTCATTATAAATGTGTCCAGCAGTTCATCTAAACCAACATTTATTTAAATGAACTGAAACAAAGGTTTTCATTTCAAACTGATTTGTTGATGAGACACACTCAGGAACAAACAGAATCTATTTCCTCCCCCGTCAACCCAGTCTCACCTTACTTGCTCAGCAAACGTTACACAGTAATGCTTCGAGTCATTAATAATGCAGACCTTTGCTTTGCGGAATGGAACAGAGGAGGTGTAGGGGGGGTCTCGAACGTCCAGCATGGAGGTACGCGGTGGCGGCAGGGGTTCATCGATGGAGTAGAGGTTGGCCCTGGACAGCCTGTTGGCCAGGTGAGCTTGGAGCCTCTGCACCTCCTCCTCCTGCTTCTGGAGGAGGAGCTCGGCTCCAACCAGACCTTCATCGGTGCCTTCATACTGTCTGCACGGAGACGGGCAGAGGAGGGTGGATACAGTTGGATGAAACCTTCTCAGAGTGTGTTTGATTTACACTGACGGTTGTTGTGACTTTACAGAATCAAAGATAGCGATGGAGAGACACAGATGACGTGACCCTTCTGTGACAAACACCATCTGTGTGTGGCTCAGAGGACGAGAGAGCTCAGCTGGGTTGGTGACTTCATTAATCCCTGTGTGTGTGTGGTGCAAAAATATCCACATTCGTATAAGTGGATACGTGTTGTGAGGACAACGATGAAGCACGGGATTAAACCATCAAACCAAGTCCTGAACCACATTCGTGTATATTACAGCAGAGGATTTCTAATGTGATGTAACAGGAGGTGGAGCTGTTTAATACGATAGAATGGGATTTCTGTGATCTGTGATAATATCCATTACATGAGTGGAGAGGCTGCCTGAGTGTGGAGGCAAAATGCCCAAATTTGTTGACTCGCTTGTTCAGCAGCTTACGTGTGTATGTGTTTGTGTTACCTGTGTCTGTGCATGTTGTGACTTGTCAGCGACAGGACATCGTGTTCAGAAGTGAGTGCCAGCTGGGAGCCAAAGCGCCTCACCTCACTTGGTTTCTTAGCTGGAAAAGAGACAGAGAGAAAAAAAAATTAGCCTAACAAATAAAGAAAAACAAGAAAATGACTGCAGTGCCTGCATGAACATGTGCTGGAGGAGGTGGAGCAAAAAAGTCCCCAAAAAATCAGGTTGAATCAGGACTTTAGGAGGGTCATGGGAAAACAATTTAGACTTTCTGAAACATTACAGAATAATTGGAACAATTTGCAAAATGCAAGAAAATGTCCCACTGTTTTTTTAGACTTCTCAGTGTTTGTGCCAGGATTTGCTGAAGCCGTGGCAGCAGCTCATGACGAAGTAAACGCTGGGCATCGCCGAAAGGCCCATTACCAAAGTGAAGCTGACTTCAGCAGAGATTGACAATGAGATAAGCACTTAGACCTTATATGTTAGACTGTTAGACTATAATAGCCTGAGCCAGTATGGTGATAAAAAATAATGAGCACCACCCAGAGGCTGGAGAGACTTTAGGATTGTTATTATTAAGGTTTCAGTAATGGTAAAACTATTATTGTGCATCTTTTCTAATTCTGAAGATTTTTTTTCAACAGCACAGAAACATGAACATATTAACCTTTAGTGTTTAATGCTACTGTGGCCGTGGTTTTTTCAATTTTAAGTATATTTTTTTTCTACTGTGTCAGTAAAAATGACACAGTTTTACAAATATCGCCTTGAAGTTACCCTGAGAATTCAACTGAAAACATCTGCATTTTTACTGCAACTATAAACAAAATTATTCTACCACATGGCAGAGGATACCAGGCATCAAAAGGTTCCTGAAGCAGTGGTTAGTATTTGTATGAATCCATCTTCCAATTATAGGTAATATAACCTCAACAATGAAGTAAATCAGGCGTTCCAAGACAATGGGTCCCAAAAAGCTCTATCTATTTACAATGCCAAGATGCTTTTAGCCTTTTATATGCCATCTATTGGGGAAATGCAGCCATTGCAGAGAAAAGACAGAGGTATCATGATAACATCAATTTATAACACAATTTTTAATAACATTAAAGTTCGGTTGGCCAGATTAAAAAAGCCAAAAGGGCCGTATCTGGCCCCCGGGCCATAGTTTGCCCATGCCTGAAGTAAATAGCACGAAGTACAAGGTCCTTAAAACCACTTAAGAGTAAAAACAGTTGTCACTTAGTGTCAAAATTTTAACGGGGTCAAGATGTCAAGATGACAAAAACAATTGACATTTTTAGAAAACCTCAGTCCTCAGTCAGTGAAAGTCTGGGAATATTTTTACAAAGGGGAACAAAATGCAGATAATTAGTGATTTGAAGCACTCGATCTCTACCTTGTCTGTACTCTGGATCTGAGGAAGTAACAGAAGGGCTCTCACTAGAAGAACTGTAATCGTCGTGGTATCTCTTGTGGGTGTGGATCGGGTCTGAGGAAAGACAAACATTAGAAGAATCTTTAAAAATGAGAGAGTACAGTACAAGCCTCTGAAAAAACAAAAAAAAAAACAAAAAAACGGAGTGCAGTACAAGCCTCTGAAAAACCAAAAAAACAAAACAAAAACGAACAGAGAAGAATCATGAATCATGCACATTATACAGTTTGGAATGGTTACGTCAACATGGTTTTTTTTTTGTTGTTGTTTGTTTGGGTGCACATTAGACAGTTTGGAATGGTTACGTCAACATGGTTTTTTTTTTGTTGTTGTTTGTTTGGGAGGGGGTGTTAGAGGCACGCAGTTTGTTTTGTTCTTTTAAGACACACACACACACACACACACAAAAGTTGCATCACTGATTGAACATAGGGAACTGAGCTGAGCTTCAGTTTGTTTGATTGAACTCTTACCATCACCAACCCTAAATCAGTAGACTGAGAAACGCCGAGCAGCTAGAAGTCATGCTGTTGGTAAATACTGCAAATAAAACACATATGTGACTACAGCGAGAGGCAGAGGCAGAGTCAGAGTCAGCACAACTCCACGTGGGCATGCCTCCTGTCAGGTTAGAGCTCTCTCCATGTAAAAAAATAATTTGTCATGCTTGACTGGAAGAACCACACAATTACAGAGCAGCTTTTTTTAACCTCAGTTCATAGCAGCTCACACACACACACACACAACAGAGTTGCCATTTGTGCAATACCAGAAAGCAAGTGTAGCCATCACAGAGAGCCGTCTAAGTGGAACTTGAAAGTCCTGCTCCTCAGTATCTGCTTCATAACTCAAATGGATGGCATTCCCCAAATGTCAGCGCTCAGGCATTCAGTTTAGACAAGTTTCACACGGTGAAAGAGTCTTCTCTTAGTCATGTCCATTTATATAAACGTCACGACAACAAACAAAGAGAAACAAGTAATATTAAACTTGGTCAACCAAAAATAGCTTTTCACCCTCTGCTGTTGTGACTCATCAGCTCCCAAACAGTGTCATCATAGAGTTGTCTTGGATAAGATACCAGTGCAGCTGCATGTGCATTAATAAGATGTCAGAGATAATAAACTAAAGCCAAAAAAAAAAAATACAAACTACAATGGAACAGAACAAATCCTTGCAAATATATGTAGTCAAATAGCGGTTGGAGGTTTGAATGCAACACATAATTGAACCAACGGCATGAAGATTTGCATGTTAACTGTTAAAAAAAAAGTCAATACAGTTCTGTAGAATATCTATATGTTATTGCAAAACTAAATATTACGTGTTCATTACATTTTCGTGTATCCATATATTCTTACGTCCCTGATGTTTAAGAAATTTAATTCAGTTTGTTGGTAAAAACAACAAAACGTGTTTTCTGTATTTTTGCCTTTTAACAAATGAGACAAAAAACCTGATTATTCCCTGTTACACTACCACAGACTTGAGTGAATAAGTTTTGTACACCTGACTATTGTCTTTGTTTCACAGATTTTTAAACACAAGAAGAGACAAAAAGACAAAAAAAAAAACACAAATGTGTATTTAGGATCCAGAAGGTTCTGAGGGAAATGTTGGACTTCTGCCACAGAGTTGCAATTTGTGTGCATAGAAAGTATGTGTAACATTATGGACATTATGAACAAACCAGTGCAGTGTCAGTTTAAGGCCAGCAGAAGAACATCCAGGAGAACTTTCCAAATAGTCCTCCTGAGGACGCTGAAAGAGTCGACGACTCAAACTGTAAAATCATTTAAAAAATGTTGGATATGTACAGTACTTGTGTTCGAACCCCTCCCCTTCCCCTGGGGCAGCGCTGGTCTGTTTTTGTTGTCCAAGCTGGACCTGCCTCAGCCCAGAGCCACATGATCGGCTGCCAAGTGCCTGAAAAGTCCAATAACGCTAGGAATTCCCTCATCCGCTACGCATGACTCCAGTTACAGTCCGTGAAGAGAGTTTCTTCTGAGTGAAACACCTTGATATCAAAAGGTCCTGGTGCGTGTCACCAGACTGGGAATGGGATCCAGGAGATAAACATGCCCATGCACACACAGGCATGCACAGGGAAAATAAACTGTATTGACGTATTTGACACTCATACCATTGGACATGTTTCAGGAATACAGGGACACACATACACAAGACAGGAGGGAGGTTTGTAACAGGGTGAAACCTGAGAGAAATGACCAGTGCTGTGCCATCACTTTCCTGTAGAAGAGAGCAGAGAAAAGTGACAGAGAAAAGACAGAAAGAAGGAATGAACACAGGTCTTTGCCAAGTTCAACATCCACCGCTCTGTGCTCAGCTGAGACCCGGAGCAGGGGTCATTATATTTTTGCTTCATTCTTTGTAGTAACTCTGTAAGTCGAGGAGTAAACATTTCTTCAGACGAGTATGTTGTCTAACACTGGTCAAACTTTCATCGATTCAAATATCCATTGACACGGAAAACAAATATAATCCTGTCAATCTCCACTGCACGCCGACAGTCCGATGAGAATAAACACCTGCATTACACAGAAACTCAACAACTACATACAGAAATACTTTTTTTGTAATCATGAGTATATGATTACAATCAGTACCAGTAAAAGGCAGAGGAGGATGAAGAGAAAAGGAAAGGAAAGGAAGGAGTTTGCAGAGGATAAAAACCCACAATCGAGGAGAAGAATGCTTGGTTGGTGGTTTGGTCAGCAGTCAGAAGAAAAAAAACTGCCTAAAAAGCAAAGAGACTGGCTTTTGGGGTGAGGAGGAGAAGAAGAAGAGGAGATGGAGTGTGGGAGGAGGCAAAGGAAGAAGAGGAAAAAAAAAAAAAAAAAAAAGGACAGTGCTTTCCTTTTTCAAACTGTTAATCGCTCCAGTTCGTTCCCCAGTCTTCAACCATCCCATGTGACTCGTTGCATAAAAGTCGGCCTGATATATAGACTTTACCAGGAATCCCATAAGCCTCTGAAGAGAAACTAAAGCTTTTTGAAATGACTGCTCAGTTCTTAAACAATCGTGTTGTAGGGTTGTTTTTTTTTCTTGTGTTCTGTTTATAGAAATCCACTTTATTTAAATGCAGGTCTGTTTCTATCTGTGTCCTCGCTGCAGGATGAATGAGAGACGAACCTGGCTTTATAGCATGTGTGACAGTTAGCAGCAGGCTAGAATTAAACTGCTCTGTAATTAGAATGGGTCTTTTTGGAAACCTCCATGGCAGTGACTCATTCACTCTGTCCAAACACTGCTGCACGGCCACCACCAGAGATACTATATTCAAGCCAGCACGCAGCTCCCATCCCACATGGTTGTTACGGATGGACACACAGCCTGC